TAGCCTCAATAGCAAGTATCTTTCCTACCTCTTACTGACTAGCACAGACTCAGGCCCACTACTTACAGCTCAAAATCCTGCAGACAACTCATAAATCACTCTGCAGCAGAGTACTGTAATCAGCATTGTATTCAAGTAGTACCCAAAAGATCTTTTTAAACAATAAAGTGGTATTTACAAATATTTTCCCAAATCAACTTGTGATTTACTTCAACATTCACTTATTCCACAATTGTATCAAGCCCCTACTACATACCAGGCACTACTCTAGGTATTGGGGATACAGAAGTGATTAAAACATTTTTTTTTAAAGAAAATCCTGCCCTCACAGAACTTAACATTCTAGTAAGTGAGACCAACAGTAAAAGTAAAGTAAATGTATGTTAAACATTAGACTGAGCCCTGGGGCATTCTAACAATAGAATTAAAATAAATACCCTATTTACAACATCAAGTAAATAATTCTATTACTATTAAACCCTTACAAAAATTTTTGGCATCACTTTTTGAGAGCAGAAAATATTGAAATAATTTTAATTTTAAATACAAAGATATATAAACTTTTTGAAAGTAATGGTTAATATATAAAGACATGGATTTACCCAATCATTTGGGGGGAAAAAAAGATATATACATGAGTATGTCATGAATGATCTAGCCTATTATTAGTAAGATTACTGAAATAACTTCCTAAGGTTTCTTGATGAATCACAACTCTGCACAACAAAACTCAACAACCCAAAGTTATTTTTATTTGTTGTGACTGACCATATTAAACAAAACATGTATATTCAATGTAATTAGATGTCATTAAAATTTGAAAGAAAAATTTAACTCAAATTACTATAAAGATTGTTTTCAGATAATCTCTAATCTGTCATTAGACCATACACAAATTATTGGTCTTTTGAAAATCACAGATTACCAAGACAACACAAAACTTCACCCTGGTTTAAATATACATTACTTCCTTAAAAGTTAAAAGTAGATGCAGAGATCAAATCTTCCCAGCACATTCTCTAGTATAAAGCAAAAGTTAACGGTATTGTGGTAGCCAGTAAGAGATGCTGTTGCTTAGAGGAAAGCTCATTCTTCTACTTATTTTGTGTGTGACACAAATAACTTGGGTAAATAACTTGTCCACTGAAAACCTCCACTTCTCCACTGTAAAGTGAGGGTAACAATACCATCGGCCTCAACAGTTCTCTTGGATGGCCCAAACAAGGTAAGTGTATAGCAGTAAAGTGTTTGGTGCATAATCGCTCAACAAATGTTTATTGTTGTCTGTCCAACATCTCACACCTATCATACATACTTCTATAGTTAAGATACCATTTTTCCATACTTGCTATCACTCACTGAGAAAACAGGCACTTTATCTTCATGTCAGAAGCTACTCTGAACTCCTCTTCTTGGTCAACTTTCTCACTCTATTCAGATCCTACTGGCAGATTTGAGTGAAAAGACAATATACTCAACTGTCACGTATCCATAATATTAAAAGTCTCTTTTCCTATTAAACTGTTATTGGGACTGCAGGTATGAGAAGGAATAAGGAAGCTCCTTATGCGCTGGTACAGGACTGATCTCCAAATACAGAGTTAAGTGAAAACTCAGTGCAGAGCAACCATGCTACCACTTTTGTAAAAAGGGGAGAGAGAAAAGGAAAGCTGTATACAAACCTGACACACATTTTTCCTTGTATAAGCACAATGTATTTCTGGAAGACTACACAATGAACTGATAACAATGGATATCTCTAGGGACGGAAACTCGATGGCCACCAGGAGACAGAGACAGGAAAAAAGACTTCACTTATAAATCCTTTTGTACTCTTTTAATTTGGAACTGCATGAATGTATTATCTAAACAGAAGCCTACACACAGCTACTCAACTGTTCAGTCACATACCATACCTCAAAATTACTTACTACTTATCCATCTTATAATTTTTTTCTTTATGTATAAAAAAACCTTTTAGGGCCGGCCCGGTGGCGCACTGGATGGTGTGCCGCTTGGGAAGCACGGCGGCGCTCTCACCCGAGGGTTCGTATCCCACATACAGACCGGTTCCCGCTCACTGGCTGAGCGAGGCGCGTTGGAACTGCATGAATGTATTATCTAAACAGAAGCCTACACACAGCTACTCAACTGTTCAGTCACATACCATACCTCAAAATTACTTACTACTTATCCATCTTATAATTTTTTTCTTTATGTATAAAAAAACCTTTTAACAAAAACAATTATCTTCCTTTTTCCTATTTTGCCTTCTTTGTACCTCCATAGTCTCTAGGGGAAAAAAAACCCATTAGTCATTATGTGCCTGTTTTGCATTACAGATCACAAAACAGGTTATCTGACTGCATAGATACTATGCTTAGTTCTTCTCTAGACGTGTAGCATAGATTCACATAAAAATTTGTCCCAAAAACCACTGCTAAAATAATTAGCATAAACAGCAAGATCAGACTGTTTATGATTCACTGGAAATCCATTCTAAATAATGGAGCAAAATTTAATTAGTATTATGTTTAATAATCTGGATTTTCTCCTTCCCTCTCTTCACCCCTCAGCCAGTGAAGAACAGGAGAACACAATGAATTAAACTAGTTATTTTGAAAAGTAGCTTTATCCCTACATTATTTTCACAGCACTTAATATTTCAGGGTATTGGAAAATCTCCCCAGAATTTCTGCTATGTTCACTGCTCTGTAGGTATTAAGCCTTTTTATCTAAAATTTGAAAAGCCTTTTTCAAAACTTTCACTTGCATTCTCAAGTTTCATCATGTTTCTTAGAAAAGATCTTATTGCTCTTGATAATGCTAAGATGCCTTTCTTATTGCACATGAAAGTATTTCTAGATAGGCAAAAAGAGGCATGAAACATTCAGTTTTAGCACAGATATAATTATTTGCAAAATTGTGTATATATTCACTGGAGCTTTATAAAAAACATGTATGTCAGAACTTCACAGTTATGTTGACCTTGAAGCCCATGTCATCAGACCCCACACCTGGAACCTATCTTATAAAAAGATCCTTTTAGCATTTCAAAGGCAAAATGTCCCAGAGGGTACAGGATGATTCTACTTTAACCTAAATTGCACTTTATAATCAACAGTTGGTTCCAGACTTTTTCAGTAAAAATGTATTTCCTACCATGTACTGCCATGTTAGCTTTATTGACTATGAAAATAAATCTAGGCAGTGTAAATTTGAAGCACCATGTTCCAAAAAGGAAAAATAAAACAAAGCAGTCTTGTCTGTAATCTTAAAGCTAAACAATTTCTTTCTTTCCTAAGACGTGCATGAAAGCATTTTAAAGCTCCTAAGAGAATATCCCCACCCACATTGTGAAACACAAGACGTACCTTGAGACTATAAAAGGAGAAGCCAGACACAAAAGCCACACATGATATGATTCCATTTAAATGACATATCCAAAATAGGCAAATCCATAAGTACAGAAAGATCAGTGGTTGCCAGGTGCTGATGGTGAGGGACGATGGGGAGTGACTGCTAATAGGTATAGGGTTTCTTTTTGGAGTCCTGAAATTTTTTTGTAAGCAGATAGTGATGATGGTTGCACAACTTTATGAATATACTAAACACTGAGTTGCATACTTTAAAAAGGTGAATTTTATAGTATATGTATTGTATTTCAAAACTTTTTTATTTAAAAAAGAGGAAGAGGAAGAGATACAAAAATGTGAGCCTAAACATCTTCCATAAAACAGTTTTATTAAGGAAGTGCTCCTCCCTGCCCAGTATACTCCCATCCTGGAAATTCACAATGGGTATACTAAAAGCTCTAAGAAGTCCTGTAGAAATCTGATTGTTATGTTTAACCTGAAGTTTCCCAAATTTACTTGACTGAAGAATATCCCAGCACACCAGCACCCTCCCCATCAAGCCTATTAATACCCACTTGGACTTAATGGTCCCTGGAAAACATTAGGAAAATCTGCTCACAGTATTCTACAAGACCAAAACAAAAAAGGAAGAATAAGAATACTATTCATCACCTGTGGAACTGAAATGCANAATAAAACAAAGCAGTCTTGTCTGTAATCTTAAAGCTAAACAATTTCTTTCTTTCCTAAGAAGTGCATGAAAGCATTTTAAAGCTCCTAAGAGAATATCCCCACCCACATTGTGAAACACAAGACGTACCTTGAGACTATAAAAGGAGAAGCCAGACACAAAAGCCACACATGATATGATTCCATTTAAATGACATATCCAAAATAGGCAAATCCATAAGTACAGAAAGATCAGTGGTTGCCAGGTGCTGATGGTGAGGGACGATGGGGAGTGACTGCTAATAGGTATAGGGTTTCTTTTTGGAGTCCTGAAATTTTTTTGTAAGCAGATAGTGATGATGGTTGCACAACTTTATGAATATACTAAACACTGAGTTGCATACTTTAAAAAGGTGAATTTTATAGTATATGTATTGTATTTCAAAACTTTTTTATTTAAAAAAGAGGAAGAGGAAGAGATACAAAAATGTGAGCCTAAACATCTTCCATAAAACAGTTTTATTAAGGAAGTGCTCCTCCCTGCCCAGTATACTCCCATCCTGGAAATTCACAATGGGTATACTAAAAGCTCTAAGAAGTCCTGTAGAAATCTGATTGTTATGTTTAACCTGAAGTTTCCCAAATTTACTTGACTGAAGAATATCCCAGCACACCAGCACCCTCCCCATCAAGCCTATTAATACCCACTTGGACTTAATGGTCCCTGGAAAACATTAGGAAAATCTGCTCACAGTATTCTATAAGACCAAAACAAAAAAGGAAGAATAAGAATACTATTCATCACCTGTGGAACTGAAATGCACTAGTGGAAAATAAATTTTTAAACTGAATTCCTATATACTGTCTAATCCAATACATTTCTAAAAGGCATTTCATATATTTTTTCAAGTGAGTCAATTAAAAATTTTTAATTTTCATGAATCTTTTGATAAAAATAAAATTATAACCCAATTATTTAAATATTTCCACTGTAAATGAGGGTAAAATTTTACAAAGTAAAAAAAATTTACTCCATTCTACTACCACCCCCTTGAATAGACTTTAAAAATTCTACTAGCTTTCTAGAGGCTGACTTGTTTCAAAAGAAATGCCAGAAGTCCCAATAAATCATTCATAATCTAAGCACTTACAACAAAAAATAAAGACTTTAATAAAAATGCACAATTGTTTATAAAATCATCATCAAAGATGCTACTATCTGAAGAACTAATATACTCTCCACCTCCTGTACAGCCCTAAAGTAAATGAGTTCAGCTACATGCAATAACTTGGTTCAAGGTCATTAATATAATATTGTGTGAGAAAGACAAATTACAAAATACATACCATAGTACTCCAATTTATATAAAGTACAAAAGCAGTGTATTTTAAGCATACAAAATACACAGAGCTCTACAAATAAATGCAACAACATGATAAAAAGCAAAATTAAGGAAAGTGGTTAACTCTGAGAGGCCTTCAAAGAGAATGGTGATAATCTTAAACACTGTGGAAGGCAGAAAGAGCTCACAATCTTTCTTTGAATTTATGCTCTGAAAAAAAGATATAAAACTTCAAAACTTCTACAACTTGAATCATAGTACCTTACATATAATTTGTCATCAATTCTAGGGAATTTAATTTACCTTCTATATATATACACAATGGAATATTACTCAGCTATAAAAAC